GGGGCATTCGCACTGAGATGCAGGGATGCAGAAGGTAAAAAGAAAGTAGAAAAAGGAGAGTAACTGTCAAGTTAAAAGGATAAGTGCCAGAGGCCTGATCATTGCCGTCCGAAACAGATACATATGCACTTTACAGAAAACACGCTCAGTCCGCTATTCTAGTCGAGGCGACCGAGCTCGCAGACACATCCGCTGCATGGACAACGTAAGAATGCAGTGTGCTGGAGGCATAATGACGGAATTCCTGGGTCAGCATTGTAAGCGTGCACGGTGAAACAGAGGGTGACAGGAGCGTAGTGGGGAAGCAAGGGAGTCAAGTTTGAATTTCCTCTAACCCTGATGGCCCAATGGAGGCATTGTCTTGGCTGAAGAATACGTGAAAAGGGTGACGACACAAGATACAGATCGGCACCAGATCAGCCGTCATTATTACTGGGGATCCACGTATTCGTAGCAGAGGTGCTCGCCCTGAATGTCCATCATGTCCCCAATGGAGCGGTCCGCGACGATGCCATACATCACGAGATTGTGCTGAAGCGTTGTGCCACATCCCGAGTCGCCCTCAATGCGAGGTGCACTATTTGTTTCTGTTAGCGGTGCGGTGAATGGGAGAGCAAAGGACGTGACGTACGGGAGATCATCAGGAAGGGGTCCAAACAGACGCTCTCCGTTGCAAGGACCAGGGCCATCCTCATTACCGCCCTGGAGGTTGCGTCCGCCCATATCGGAAAGGCGGTTGGGAAGGTCCTGCTTCTGCCAATCCCACCAAACCTTGTCGAGCCACGTGTGATGAAGATAGAAGAGAGGGTCGCCCGGGCTGGAGATGGGGTTCGACATCTGTCCACCCACGCCGTTGTGACCGCCGCGGTGAGGCTCGTTCTCGATGCAGGGCCAGGCAGTCGCCCAGGAAGGCTGCGACAGGCAGATGTCGACATTTTCCTGGGCGGACATGGCCGACTGGGAGTCATCGATGCGGCGAACGATGCAGCTATCCTGGACGGTGTAGCCGGGGCCAACGCGGTTGACGTAGTTGGCGAATGGCCCGTCCGTGACGCAGTCACGGTCGTCGCCATCGCCACCGAAGCCGGTCTGGGGGTCGAGAAGAATGGAGTTCTTAAAGTTGCCAGCATCTAGCTGCTCCTGCCAGTATCTTACACGTTTGTTAGTACACGTATGAGACCGAAGGCATTTGTGAAGACTTACGGCTGACCACCAGTGTAGCCACACTCCGTCTCAAGGAGGTACTCATGAGCCCGCATGAGCAGGCGGTGGAATGGCAAGAAAGCACCCTGAAGATGTGAGATGCTGTCAGGCTGCGGCTGGAGTGCTGCAACTTACAACGCTGTGGGTAAGCTCGGCCTGGGCAACGTGAACGCTCTGGAGCTCGTCAAACTTAGTGACGGCACCGCGGAGACCAAGGGTGGCCTCCTTGCCCATCAGACACAACTCTGCATCGATGTAGGCCTTTTTCTCCTCATCAGCAAGCGTGTGCCTAAAGAACATTAGCTTTCTAAAATCTGCCAACTGGTCCGCACATTGTATCGCTCACCAGGCGAGTCGCTGCGTCGGCTGTGTGCACTGGCTCTGGCGCTTTTCAGCCGCTGGCAGGGCCAGGGCAGAGCTAGCTGCGAGGAGTGCAGTGAAAATGTGAGCCGTGGAGACAACCATAATGCCGTCTGGGGATTTCAAAAGAGTGAATGTCGAACGAAGGAAAAGAACGAATGTGTGAAACGAGTGACTTGGCGTGGCTTGGATGTGTCCACACAGCAGAGGTAGACGATGCCTTTATCAATGATTATTTTGATGACCCTTGATTGTCCTGGATTGTCCTGTGACGGTTCACATTCCCATCATGAGCTCCCCTGCGCATCATGTCTTAAAGTAATCATGTTGCCTGTCTGTCAGGTCTCAGAGGAGCTAGCCAGCCCTCCAATTAGGAGAACTGGTGATCGCCAGTGCATAGCATGCGCGACAGGGCGACTAGCGCCATTGTCAATCAGGTTTCCCAACCTCCAGGATGCGAGAGATGCGGGGAGGACGGGGATTGTTGATCGATTGCATTGCTGAAGATGATCCGACTCCGCACGGCGTGTAGTGTCTCGTGCGAGTCGTGCCTCCATCCGAGGGGGTCGGGGAAAGGCATTGGCACGAGGTGATATGTCAAACAATTTCTCAATTGGTCGGATCTCACGGCTCGTAGGCACTTGCAGTGCTCAGCACCAGTTCTGGCGTGGCCAGCGCCGCCATAGGGCCGATCTGAGCTATGTCTCATCCGACCACTATAATTCCTCGGCTGGATGGCCCATTAGCTTGCTGCTCGGAGCCGGATGGAGTAAACAAGCGGACAAGTTCGAATAAACAAACTTCAGACGGCCCGTTGTAAGCTCCATACTTGTTGAATTGGAAGCCTGCGTGATTGGAGAGTAGCTTTGATCGGACGTCGCCGTGGTAAACTAGTCAACATTAGTAAAATAGCCACACCAACCTCGCTGACTACGTCCGTATTCCTACAATGTATCGTCATAGTGCGAACTCACTATCGTGCGACCGCCCGAAAGACCCGTGACGCGATACGATGCATGCATCTTGGCTAGCATATGGATTATGACGAGAAACGTGGACGCCGTGATGCCAACAACATCTGACAGCGCCACAAAACAAGTCTCCAGACCGACTTGTCGATTAAAATAGTTAATGAGTACGCGTTGGGGAGGTTGGGGCGGCTGTCAACACGACTGGAAGGTGGAATGCTAGTCTTGTCGCGCAACCTCCCTTTCCCCGCCTTTTGTTGCACAGGGCTGTCATCGTGTCATGGTCTTCTTGCACGCACAATTGAGCTGTGAGATCTCAGGCCTACAATTCAGATGCGATAGCCGAGATCGCGGCTCAAGGCGTAATGGCGCATGTCCTTCTCAACACGAGGTAAGCTCCATGCTTTCATAAACCTTAAGAACTCACCGATGACCACTATCGTATCATGTCACTCCGACTCGTAGATTATTTCCGTCTAATGACTATGGCACAGAATCCAGACGTACTCTTGTGATGGTGCTGAACTCGTCAGCCTATTCAGGAATGTCGACAACGTTTACGCGCCTGCTTTTGAGGCGTCCCATGTCATTTGAGCGGTAATGCACCGTAAGTGAGGCAGAGGATGGAAAGATATCCCGCTTAATTCGCAGGGCCTGGCCGACCCTTGGTTGAGATGCTGCGAGCCATCAGCTGAATCCATAGTGAGCTAAACGGTAGTAATACCATGGTTCTCACTGATGAATGCTGATGTGAAACAAAGACTGGCAGTCTCGCCGCTATACAAAATACATGTATTTGAACCCTCATTATTATATCTCTAGGGCGAACCAAGTCCACATGCTTGTCTTCTTGACCTCAGTTGCACGCAGATTGAACTTGGTGTTTCTCGTTCAGTATTTTGTGTCAAGATACAAATATCCTACTGTACTGACAGTGATGAGAACATGCGCGTTCTAGTAGTCAATGATGAGGCCGAAATCCAAATGTAACGTCTGCATTACTCATGGAGCCTCATGCCGCGTTGTAAGCTCCGGCTATGGGAAACGATTCACTACTTGCGAGGGCTCTATTAGTGTTACTGACTGCAAGCTTTGATGACTGCCTAACAGTCCTGTTAAACACAGATTTTTATATCGTTGGTCTCGATCACCCGGAATATATTTCTCCTTGTTGTGTGCTCCCTTTCCGAGAACCCGTTGGACAGCTTTCTTGCTTTTCGAGTGATCAATTGGCTCTTGGTCATGGCGCTCTGCTCTTTGAGGTACCCATGTCCACTAACACCACAACCATGCCCAGTCCTTCAATCTTCTTCCCATATTTGAGTCGGCGAAGCTTATTTACAGGCCAGCATTGTAGCGCCTATTCAGATTAAGGTCTGTAATATAGTACCTAAGGGACCATGCCGGACGGACTGAGAGTATCATTCAACGGACCTAGGGATAACACTAGCATAGAAGCTTGGGACTAGTGAGTCAATGAAACCGAAGACAAACAACTACGAGACTGCTGTGTGTTCATATTATAACCATCTATCCTCAAAGAGCATATCAGACAAGAAAACAATGTCATCACAGTCCTACAGGGCAAAGACCCACAAGGTTGCAGGGCTGTCGTATCGATTTCTGGAAAGTGCATCAATTCGTCATAGAGCAACTGTTCGGTTGAGGAGGCCGGCATTGATGCAGCGAGGACTTGTTTGCGATGACGACGCCCGGCATGTGTGCCCAAAGTGGGCGGTGAGACTGTCAGGTGCTTTTCAATTTAAGACACGACGTCCCAATGCATGATAGACTCAAGGCCACGATAGCGACTCAGGCACAGATGTTTCTCCTGTTTAGTCGCAAGATCGACATTAAGGCGAACCTGGATTGGGGAATATTCGCGAAGCGGCGAAGGCGCAACTCGCGCTCTGAACTCCTATTCATCAGCTGACAATCTGACTGTCCTCAATACAGGTCAAAGGTCCGAGTCCGCGCATGCTGTAAAAAAAGAACGGTCCCAAAAGTCAGGTCCGTCTCGTATAGTGCAACGTTTAGTCTCACTCCCCCACCTGAATCGCCCGTTGGGAGAGGATCAGCAGTCAAACCGCATGCCGGCTAACCGCCATGACAAAGGAAGTTGAGTCGCAATGGGATTAGTTTCCAGCACGCCGGAGACGCACGAGGTCTTTTCTACGCTAAACTGAATCAATGGGCCTGGCGGGACGAATTGATACTCAACCAGGCGGCACGGCTTTTAGCAGGTTCATGCAGGATGATGGCCGCGGCGTTTGACTCCGAGACGTACGGCTTCGCAATCAAGTGGCGTGTTGAAGCCTTCGACAACTGTGTCCAACATAAAGGGGGGGTCGGTTCCCCTGGCTTCAGGCCCTACTGCATACCCATATCCTGGAGGCACTATTCCAACTCACGAGCTGTGTACATCTATGGTTGGCAAATACTCCGACACAAGTTATACCCAAAACGAGGATGCCTACTTTGCAGCGAGCATGGCTCATGTGCTTCTGCTGCATGCAAGCAGCTACTGCGCGACGAGCTTACGCCGATAACTTGGACTTCGTCCATCGCGACAGCGACGAAGTCTCCAAGAACTTTCCCAATGTTGACATTGAACTATTGTCACCAGCTTTCGCAAGTCCAGAAACTGTCCTCAAGGGATTCTCAGAAGGCACGAGCGGGCCAACAAGCCTAGACACAATTGGTACGTCCCCATCCTGACACAGGTTTACAGGTACCGTCTAAGATTTTGTAAAGATCGCTTTCTTCGCAGCATAGCATCCAGGCATGACTGGGCTTCATATCACACACCCTCATTCACATCTGAAGAAGGTCGAATCATGCCATATCTTTGCCTGTCCACTACTAAGGGAGACACGCCGTGTCAAGACCATGCAAAGGAAAAACTTCGCATTTGGCTGCAAGGCGGTCAGCATGGAGACGAGCCAGCGGGTGATCAGTCCATCCTGGCTCTCCTCGGAAAGTTCGACGATAATTCTACGTGGGCGGAGTCAATGCTGCAACAAGTGGACATCATGGCACTACCACGGTATAATCCAGATGGCATTACATACTTTCAGCGGACTTTCGCATCCAACTACGATCCAAACAGGGATCATACGTATCTGCAGCGACAGCAGACTCGCGACATCAAAACGCTGCTGTCAGACTTTTCGCCGCATATCGTCCTGGACGCCCACGAGTTCAACGCAACCGCGCCAGTGGGTCCAAAAGGCGAGTGGACTAAGGCGCAGGACTGTCTTCTTTCGGGCTCCAAGAATCTCAACATTCACGAAGACATCCGCGGCCTCACAGAAGGGCTTTTCACCAATTCCATCGGTGCAGCACTGGAGAAACGCAAACTGCGTTGGAGCCCCTTCTTCAATGGCGGGGATGGCAACTTGGACTTGTCCGAACCCGGATCTCTCAGCCGAGCGGGCCACAGCTCGGCCGGGCTTCTTCAAGCGGTGACGTTCCTGCTTGAGATCCGCGGCATTTCTCTGGCGGACCAGCATTTTCAGCGTCGTGTAGCTGCTGGCCTCACCGTCCTCGAGACTCTGGTGACGCAAGCCGCAGAAAACGCCCGCGGGATTTACAAGACGATCGAGGACGCCCGCCAAAAGTTCACGAACAGTACCGAAGATATCGTGGTCACAGACAAGGCGCGGTCGACCAGCGTCCATTGGACGTTCATCGACTCGAAGAACGGTAGCTTAGTCGACATCCCGGTCACTTTCAAGAACAACACACCACCAGTGGCCAACCTTACAAGGGCGCGGCCCGAAGCTTACGTGTTCTCGGCGGCATTCTCTGATGTGGCGGACAAGCTGCGCGCGTCTGGGGTCAAGGTTGAGCCACTCGAGCACGACTTTGAGGGTACCGTCGAAGTACTCAAAGTGCGATCGGCGCGCGAGCAGAGCAGTCCTGATTCTTTCGGCGTGACTGTTACCACTCGGGCGTTTGAGAAGGAGGTGAAGATCCCGGCTGGCGGATTTTGGGTCGACACGAGGCAGAAGAACGCGGCTGTTGCGTTTGTGACGCTGGAACCAGAGAACTCGGCATCATACGTCAAGTACAACGTGATACCCCTGCGGAAAGGGGATGAGTATCCTATTTTCAGGGTCTTGCGAAAGTGATAGAGGGGTCAGTCATGCAATATGACGGCGTTTAAATCACCCTTCCGTGGTGACCTTTCAGCTTGTGCCTGTTGGTTTGCCTGCTCCACCGAGATAGTTGGGCGGGGTCTGAGTGAAGGCTGTAAGGCCAGGTAACAAGATGCCCGGTTGACAGCTGAAGCAGGGAAGACTGACCGAGAGACGCATACGTCAATGAGGTTGACAAGCAGGTACAGCTAGTTGATGGAGGGTATTGAATACAACGCTGCAGGGGTAGAACCAATGGACCCTACATTTCTCGGCGGGAGTTACCGACCTGTACCGCCCGGGTTCCGCCCCACCGGAATCCGAGTGGCTTGGTGATCGGTGTTTCAATGGGTGGCTCAAGTATCATTGCGAGATTATCCTTGTCTAGGCCAAAGCTGCGCGGGCGCCCAGAGCGGACTATACGATGCTGATAGTCGCAGAGGCCTGCATTGGTAGAATGCAACGTGGCGGAGACCACGGCGGAGACTAGTGGATGACCAGCATGATTATGAAGCACAACAGCGCTTGATCAACATTCGAAGTGCCGCTGGTAAACGGCACACCCAGGCCCTGTTACTATAATCGTCAAACAGAGTTCCAGTATATCCCTCAATATTCGACCCAGATAATTGCTTATTCTTTTCTTCTCTTTTGAAGTTGGTCCCCTATCTCACTATTTACTATTCATCCTGATTTGTGTGCTAGCCTGGTGGCCTTTGTGAGCCTACCTTGCTACTGCGATACAGTGGAACAACCCTCAGTAAAGACCGATCGATGACGCAGCAGATGCTTTCCGAAAGAATCTCCGGGGTTCCCCTTGAGGCATTATACCCTCAAAGACTGCACGTGAAAACTCGGCCGGCCACGTGCCCACGGCGTCGCAGCACACATTTGGCAGCTCGCTGCACCCTGCCGCCCGTCACTACTGACATTCAGTCGGCCCTATTGCCCAGGCTGCACTCCGCGCACCCCATAAACGGGCGACATCTCAAGCTGGGATGGCGTCGAACATGGCGTCCGGGGGTGGCCCAGGGTCAGATCACGAGCATCACTGGCCAAGATTTCAGGGGGGGGGGGGGGGGGGGGTGGTCGAGGGCGTGATCGTCCGGCATTCGGACCTATCCCCACAGCTCCCCGCAAAGACATACCCCGGACTGTTAAGGCCGAGCGCCACCTTGTTCAACGTTGAGCGCCTCTCATCTTCCTGTCACAGATGGTCATCGACCAGTCTTGGAGAGACGTCGTTGTGATTTGCCGGTAGTTGCTGGCGATTTAAGCACCCCCTAGATCCTTCGAAGTTGGTTGATGAATCTGGTGCGGTCTTTCGTCTTGGTGCTCTTAACACCCTATATCGTGTAGGGAAGCGGTGGAGATGCCAATAACCAGGGATAGCTGCTCTTAATGATAGTTGCAAAGGTGGTCCTAGTCTCTGGGTCATTCGAATGACAACGTTCATCTGTGAAGGCGGTGGATACCGAGTCATTGTCACACAGAAACCAGCCCTGTGGCTGTAATGAATGAGTTTCCCACCAACCATTGTATAGCAGATTGCGGAGGTCAAGCCTGGTCATCAACTACCCGTGGGCCTCGGCGTCATCGCGGACCTGGGCATCAAATTTGCAACCCCATCTCGACTGCTCTAGCACATTTACGGCTGTTCGGTTTGACGGATCGCGCTGCGGCACTTGTTCGAGACCAGAGAAAAAGGGGGCTCGACTCCAAAACCTATACCGAGTTGATTTCCCGTTGGAGCAAGGGGGGCCGGCACTAAGAAAGCCTCTTTATCCGACAATTCATGCACGTTATACAGCCGTGCAGTAGCTGCCCCGGGTTTCCTGGAGGCAGTTAGATCTGGGGTAAACCAGCTGCACGAGTAGGGCCGTTTCAGCGGTTGCATGGTCGTACTTCGGCTTCACTCAACGGCGGCTGCCAGGTCATCAATCAAGTTTGCGGGTCAATCTGAGGCAAGCCTTCAATCGCGGCTAGGGAGTTGCGGCAACTTTGATCATCGCAAGCGTCGTTTTCGATGGAGTTGTCGTTGTACAAATAGATCGACGTTCGTTCCATGAATCGCATGCAATCTTCATCTCCAGCCGCATCACAGTGTTCGCCAACTCCTGAAGATATCGGACAGTCGACAATCCTCACAAAATGAAGACCACCACCGCCATCACCCTCCTGAGCTTCGCCTCCTCCGTCCTTGGCCATGGATACCTGACCATCCCCAAGAGTCGCACTCGTCTGGGCGCCGAGGTTGGTTCTTGCTCCTCCAGATAGTCCGATCTTTCAATTCTCGCGGGTCGATACTGACTCGTTCTTGTCCCAGGCTGGACTTGATTCTTGCCCGGAGTGCAACATTCGTGAGCCTGTCGAGGCCTGGCCCAATGTCACCCAGGCCACTGTCGGACGCAGCGGGCCTTGCGGCTACAATGCCCGAGTCTCCATCGACTACAACCAGCCCAAGACCAACTGGGGCAACAGTCCCGTGGTCACTTACACCGCTGGTCAGACTGTCGATGTTGAGTGGTGGTAAGTCCCACACTTGTCCGTACTCATACTGGACTAGGACTCTCGGCATCGCTGCCGGGACACCCTGCAAGGTCCCCCCATGCTCTCAGGATCGGCCCCATTCTAAGTACTCTGAACCATTAGTGTCGATGCGAACGGCGATCACGGTGGCATGTTCAGCTACCGTATCTGCCAAGACCAAGCCCTGGTCAACAAGTTCATCACTCCTGGATACCTCCCCACGGAAGCTGAGAAGGAGGCTGCCGAGCAATGCTTCCAGCGCGGCACCCTTCCTTGCACTGATGTCACCGGCCAGAGCTGTGGCTTCAACCCCGACTGCCAGCCTGGCCAGCCTTGCTGGCGCAACGACTGGTTCACCTGCAACGCTTTCCAGGCCAGCAACCGCCGCGCCTGTCAGGGTGTTGATGGCGCTGCCCTCGGCTCTTGCTACACTTCGATCGCCGGCGGTTACAAGGTGTCCAAGAAGATCAAGATTCCCAACTACAACTCGGCTCACACCCTGCTCTCCTTCCGCTGGAACTCGTTCCAGACTGGACAAGTCTACCTCACCTGTGCCGATATTGCTATCAACGGTGGCAGCAACAACAACCCTACCACCGCTGTCGCCCCTACGACTCTCCGCACCACCACTAGTACGTTCACCATCTCGACTTCTGTGTGAAGGACTCGCGCTGACATGTCGCGTTTTAGCTGCTGCTGCTGCCACCACCACTGGTGCCTGCACCCCTGCTGCCAACGTTGCCGTGACCTTCAACACCCTGGCGACCACCGTCGTCGGCCAGACAATCAAGCTTGCCGGCTCCATCTCTCAGCTCGGTAGCTGGACCCCCGCCTCCGCTCCCTCCCTGTCCGCCTCCGGTTACACTACCTCCCGTCCCCTCTGGACCTACACCGTGACGCTGCCTGCCGGCACCACCTTCCAGTACAAGTTCATCAACGTCCAGTCTGACGGATCCGTCGCTGGGAGAGCGATCCGAACCGCTCGTACACCGTTCCCAACCGGGTGCGCCTCGGCCGTCACCGTCGACAGCACCTGGCGTTAAGCTACCGCG